AAAAATTAACGTGTCCTAATAATTAGCAGTGTTGAAAGTAATTAAAGGTCTCAAATTCAATTCACAACTGTCAACTAATGCATTGTAATTGAAGAATACTTTGGTAAAATACTTTTTTTTTTTTAACACCAACCAGGGTATCTGTTACAAGGGTTAATTTATCACCGAAATTTTCCCACCGTACGGCCTGATTCGCTCACCAAATCAGTCAGCCTTCCTCACGATTCTCTTCACACAAAATGCACAAACACAAGTCTTTTGAACCACGTAAACGAACACAAGAGTATGCAGCAGAAATCGAACAACACAAGCACGTTTACGGGCAATGCCCAACCTTTATATTAATTCCCACAAAGAATACAAAGGAGACTAAGGTGCACACACAAAATCCTCACTCAGAATGCCCAACAATTGCAATATGAACTCTCATATGCTAGATCCCTCGGATTTGTGCACTCATAGCCAAATAAATACAAGGAAAAGGTAGTTTTCACACAAAACTACCTAAGGACACATGGCAGCATACAAACATGACACTTGGCTAACTATTACAAGTAATAAGGGGCAATTTTCATGCATTTCCAGGCCTCAACCGCTCCGTAACTTTCCTCAAATCCGCCCAAGAGGCTGATTTCCGAAGCCCAACTTGACCGGGCGCGCCCGTGCGCGCCAAACGGCCCAAACAGCCCGGCCGGTTGCTAGGAGCCCATCTGCCTTGCCTTTTCCGCACGTTTGCTTGCCTTTACCGATTACTTGCTAGTTCTTTGCTCACACGGTCATCAAAACGCCCGTTCATCGGGCTGCCTTGCTTGACTTGCCAATTTGCCCACACTTGTCAAGTCATGGTCGATTTCCCTCGAACGCTCGTTTGCCCACGTTATCGACCACATGCCGATTATTGCCCACGCTCGTCCGCATTTGCTGCCGAGCAACGCCCGTGCCAGCCACAAGTACTTTCGATCACCGTTCCCACTTGAACCAAGCCGATCCTTGCTTTCTCAGTCAAACACCCCCAATGCTTGCCGAACACTCGACCACTCATTGGCCGATTGTGTGGCTGTCTTGTGCCAATCCCCACTTGGCACCCATTCTCGGTCATGACTCGGCCACACTCGAGTCATTACCGATATCACCGATTAAGGGGGTAACAGACCTCCCCCACCAACGGTGTTCGACGCCCTCGTCGAACCGACACCATCGGCTTCAGCTTTCCCTCGTTTCCACTTGCCTTGCCACCGTTCTCGATTGTGCTTGATCACCAGCACTACATCGAATCCCAAATTCCAAGTCTGATCCCACAAACATCCCACATATTCTTTCAGCCCTCGGAAATATGAACGCCAACCACATTTAAACGGCAGCACCCAACCACAAGTGAAAATACTAGTTTTTGGCACAACTAGTATTTTATCTCGATTGCCACACCAATCAAGAAAGGAGACCTCCAACCCACGGAAATCACCCAAACACGGCTTCCATTTCATCAACAACAGAAACCAGTCCAACAAAAACCCAACAACATGCACCCGAAATTCAGAAGATACCACATTTCGAACCCGCAAATCATGCCACACACGGCAGAAACTTAGAACAAAAGTAAGGCCACATTGCCCATTCATAAACCCAAATGAATACCTCAACTTACCTTCGGCCCTTGTCTCATTTCTCGGCGATGCACGTACAAGCAAACCAGCCCGAGAATTCACCGTCTTGTTTCGAACGACTGCAATTAGGCTCGATGACTTCTCGTCGTTCGATTCTGCCTCCAATTGCACCGCAGTCAACATTGCCACCGGTTTCTTTCCCGCCTTTGCTTTCGTCACGTACGAGCATTCAACGAAGCATGGACACTCTTCGTCCATAATCATCAGCCCTCCGAGAAATGGTATCACCACAGCCTTGGCAGCAAGTAGGAACTCTTGCCCCAATATCACATCGAAATCATCTAGTGGTACGGCAGTCAATCCGCACTGCCCTTTCCAAGAACCGATCACTAGATCGACATCGGTTCTGCCTTTCACTGGCCCCGCCTCTGAATTTACAGCCTTAACTTGACTTGCATGTTTCGAGAGAGTCAAGCCCAGCTTCTTGACTTCTCTCTCGGCAACGAAGTTGTGAGTTGCTCCCGAATCAACCATCACCTTCACTTTTTTGCCATTGATCAGCACCGTGGCATACATCAAACCCTTGGTGCCGTTGGGTGCCTTGTCCACGACCAAAGCACTCAACAATTGAATCGGATTCGCACGTCTCGTCTCGTCCGAATCTTCCTCACTATCCGACTCCCGCATCAAAGCATTCAACTTGCTCCTCTTCGGACAGTCCCTCATTCGGTGGTTGCCATCACATAGAAAACAGCCACGGTTTTGTTTGTTGACGACGGGCTGTCCACCGGTCTTGGTTCGCACCGAGGACCCTTCGCCATCACCGCTCTCTTTCTGCTTCCAATTTCGGCCACCCTTGCCACCGAACTTCTTTCCCTTGGACTTATCCTTCTTCGAGCCTTCCTTATCGGAATCATCGGCCCCCATCACCTTGTAATCGACAAGTCGATCTGCTGCCGAGATGGCACTTGGCAGATCCTTCACACCTTGCCTCCGCAATTCGGTTTGGGCCCATGGCTGCAATCCAGCCATGAAGTTGAACAACTTATCTTCATCGGACATATCACGTATGTCAATGAGCAGAGAACTGAATTCCTTGACATACTCCCTCACGGTTCCCTTGTGCTTCAATTGCCGAAGGGATTCCCTTAAAATCCAGCCCACGTTGCAAGGTAGGAATTGCTCTTTCAACTCCCGTTTCAGCACCTCCCAAGTTTCGATCTTCACTCGGTTAGCACTTGCATCGTCTGACAAACGAGCACGCCACCACAACTTTGCATCGCGCCCACAAGATACATACTTGTAATGGTTACTTTCTCGCGATCCGGAACCTTGGCTGCCTCGAAGTAATTCTCCATATCCCACACGAAGTTTTCGACTTCTTTGGCACTGCGCACACCATCAAACGCAGTCGGTTCCGGCACACGAACTTTGGATCCCGACGTTCTGCCCTCAAAACTCGATCCTTCATTTCGAACAGCCCTTTTCAACACCATCAAATCCGTAAGCATTCCCTCAAGCTTCGTCTCAACGGCATCAATGAGGAGTCCCATCTCCTCAGCAACGAACGTGAATCTGCCCTCCACGAATTGGGGCAGATCGTCCAACGATCTTGCCAAACGATCGATTTCTCGCTTCCCATCAGCGAGCCTTTGTAAGATCGGTGGATCCGTTGGATCTAGGGGCGGCCCAACCAAGGCTTCAAGACGTTGCAGCCTTGATTCCATCTCTAGCATCATCACACGAGTAGGATTTGGATTTGTCGAAGATCCATAATCTTCAGCCATGCCAAACAGCAACACGTTCAGAACCCTTGAACCTGGCTCTGATACCAACTGCTACAGGGGTTAATTTATCACCGAAATTTTCCCACCGTACGGCCTGATTCGCCCACCAAATCAGTCAGCCTTCCTCACGATTCTCTTCACACAAAATGCACAAACACAAGTCTTTTGAACCACGTAAACGAACACAAGAGTATGCAGCAGAAATCGAACAACACAAGCACGTTTACGGGCAATGCCCAACCTTTATATTAATTCCAACAAAGAATACAAATGAGACTAAGGTGCACACACAAAATCCTCACTCAGAATGCCCAACAATTGCAATCTGAACTCTCATATGCTAGATCCCTCGGATTTGTGCACTCATAGCCAAATAAATACAAGGAAAATGTAGTTTTCACACAAAACTACCTAAGGACACATGGCAGCATACAAACATGACACTTGGCTAACTATTACAAGTAATAAGGGGCAGTTTTCATGCATTTCCAGGCCTCAACCGCTCCGTAACTTCCCTCAAATCCGCCCAAAAGGCTGATTTCCGAAGCCCAACTTGACCAGGCGCGCCCGCGCGCGCCAAACGGCCCAAACAGCCCGGCCGGTTGCTAGGCAGCCCATCTGCCTTGCCTTTTCCGCACGTTTGCTTGCCTTTACCGATTACTTGCCAGTTCTTTGCTCACACGGTCATCAAAACGCCCGCTCATCGGGCTGCCTTGCTTGACTTGCCAATTTGCCCACACTTGTCAAGTCGTGGTCGATTTCCCTCGAACGCTCGTTTGCCCACGTTATCGGCCACATGCCGATTATTGCCCACGCTCGTCCGCATTTGCTGCCGAGCAACACCCGTGCCAGCCACAAGTACTTTCGATCACCGTTCCCACTTGAACCAAGCCGATCCTCGCTTTCTCAGTCAAACACCCCCAATGCTTGCCGAACACTCGACCACTCATTGGCCGATTGTGTGGCTGTCTTGTGCCAATCCCCACTTGGCACCCATTCTCGGTCATGACTCGGCCACACTCGAGTCATTACCGATATCACCGATTAAGGGGGTAACAGTATCCCACCCTAGACTAATCATATATAACATATATCACTAAAATTGCCACACATGTTAAAAAGTTTGAACTTGGCTTCTCGAGTGTTTTATTAATTTTATATATATGTTTATTTATATTTGTGATTATATATAAATCAAAGTCGAAAATAACTCTTGCGAAATTTATTGGGTGCAGAATAGAATAGACAGTTTATTACTCGTTTTTACACAACGTAATAGATTGCGACCGTTTTGCCTATTAGAATAACTTTACATTCTTGAATGGAATATTTCGAGTTGTTAGGAGCATCTAACCAATAAATACAACCACCGATTGATCTTTTCAACATACTTATTACAAGGAAATTGAAAAGTACTATTACAAGTTAACCACCGTACATACAAACATTTGTGTATAATCTCACAAACAGCAAAATACACACATTTATTTCTAAATTATAAGACATATTTTAATTGTTCAATCAATCTACTGCTACAGTATTCACAGTAACATATTATTACATCAAGATCCAAAATTTGAAGTGCAAAATTGGAACTTTTTTTTTTTTTTTATCGACCCACATTCATACTCGATGTAGTAATCGAGAAAGGCTCGGAACGGGAGCTAACCGATGGGCTTTCAGGTGCATTAAACACAGGCACTGGCATTTTAGTCTCGAGTTTGGGCAAATCTGCTTCGAAATTGAGAACACGGCTAGCTTGCCTGATCGACGGCCTCAGAGTGTAGTCAGGGTGAGCACACCACAACCCGACTATCATCAAACGCTCGGCTTGTCCTGTCACAAGATTCGATAGGACGCTCTCGTCCACCCCAGAAAGAAGCTCCCCGTTCCCATATAAATCCCAAACCCACCCCACCAAACTTTTATTTGACTCCACATTCAATGGATCGAACGATTTTTTTTCCGGTGGCAATCTCAAGGGCCACGACCCCAAAACTGTACACATCTGACTCTTTGCTGGCTCTGCCACTGTTCACATATTCAGGGGCCATATATCCGAAAGTTCCAGCTAGGCCGGTGGTCTGTGGGTCGAGCCCATGGTCCATGAGCCGAGCAAGCCCAAAGTCACCTAGCTTGACATTAAAGCTCGAATCGAGCATTATGTTGCTCGATTTGATATCTCTATGCACCACGCACTGCTCCCACTCCTCGTGGAGATAGAGCAGAGCGGAGGCCAAACCGAGTGCAATTTTGTACCTTTGGGTCCAAGAAAGAATGTTCTCTCTCCGAAAAAGGTGATGATCGAGGCTACCGTTGGGCATGAACTCGTACACGAGCAAGAACTCGCCCTGGTCGTGGCTCCACCCGATTAGTCGCACCAAGTTTCTGTGCCTCAGCATGCTTATGATCTTCACCTCCGTTACGTATTGCTTTTTCCCGTGTTTGGATCGCCCTGAGAATTTCTTCACGGCGATCGGAATATTGAGGTCAATGAGGTGTCCCTTGTACACCCCTCCGAATCCACCCTCCCCCAACTTTTTCTTGTCCGAGAAATTATCGGTGGCCGAAGCGAGGTCTTTGTAAGCAAACTTTCTCGGCCCCACTCCTCTTTCAAGATCATCATCGTTCACCATCATCGATGTCGTCGCCGATCTAGTTTCATCTGGATTGATTCTCTGATCCTGTTTTTTCCTCGAGACGACGACATAGGCTAACACTCCCCCTGCAATCAAAATGCACCCTGATAGGGCTACGCCCACAATCAATCCAATGTTCTTTTTCGAACTACGATTATTCACGTCGGTTTCGTCTATATCTAGACTCGAACTCGTGAAGTCCCATGATGCAAGCGTGTGCCGTTCAACAAAAGTCCCCGTAGAAGCGAAGATACCGATGGTGACCCACTGAGGAAGAACCTCTTTCAGGTCTATCCGGTACGATAGGCTTGAATTCGGCCCACCCCCGTAACCCCATAAGACACTCAAATTTCTAGTAGTGGAGTCGTACCGAATCCAGGCATCGGCTAGATCGCCATTGTGCAAGGAGACATTCCACGGGGATGTTGCCGAAGAAGTTATCGAGTTTATATTGATTCCCACGTGCTCGTATTTCGGGTCCCACCCTTCATTCGAGTGTGTGTCGAATTCCACAGAGACGATTTGTGCCCGACTGGAGCTGGTGGAGGTGGTGGTGGTGTTGAAAAGGCCCAAGTAGCCGCCGGCGGAATTTGGCGGGATTTGGAAGCCGACGGGGGCGAGGAAAAACGCGAGCCCGTTGCCGTAGGATGCTCTGTTTTCGGTGTCGACGGTGAAGGAGAAATGAGTGGTGAAGTCTGCGAGTTTTTGGGAGTCCCAAAGAGGTACCTTTCCGTTGTAGATGACGCGGCCCACGCGGTAGAGGTAGTTGATGTTGGTGAACTCAATTTTGCCGACGGAATTGACGGCGTCGCCCTCGAGGAGTACGAGGTTCACGTCCGAGTCGAACCTCGGAAGTTGGAAACTCACGGAATGAGAAAATCGGGTGTGGAAAACGAGGAAAATTGTGATGAATAATGCAGTTCCATACATGGTTTGGGAATTCTTAGGTGATGATGATGCTTATAGTTATATATATATATGATGATGCTAATTACTTAGATCACCTCGGGTAGTGTAGAAAATGAACTGGGAGAGCAAAGCGGATCAGTAGCTTGACAACTTGATGATACTGAGGTACTTGCGATCATAGAACACGTGAACTAGGCCGGGGGTTGATCCGGCGGAAACCCCTCCGACGCTCAAGTCAGACGTGCTGATAGTGGAAATAGTCCAGAGAATACAGTTAATAGTATTGCTCAGTTAATAGGACGTACCTTAAGGAATGAGTTCAAACATTTATTTATAGCTTAGTTGAGATTGTCGGGCCCAAACCTTACTTGAAGGTGATTGGGCCTTGGTGATAAAGGTCTTCGATATTGGGCTCGTGGCCCAGTAGGTAAATAATTTGTAGGCCCATTGGGTTGGGCCAATTAGGCATATCAATATATATATAGATTATAGAGATATATATTACGTGTGTGTGTGTGTATATAATGTGTACGGAAGTACGATTGGTTCCAGACGATTTGATGTTTCTAAACTAACTAACTTTGTTTAATGGGTATGGAAGTTTTCACTGAAAGCAATAGAAATTGTCGGACTGCGGGAGAATTACACTTTTCGTCCCTCATGTTTAATTTGATTCCACTTATGGCCTTCCTTGTTTTGAAGAGAATAAATTTCACCTCAAAAGTTCAATTTTATCCGTTCTAGGACGGTCTTTTTTTCTTTTTTAAATATACATATATATGATTTTGTTTGTTAAAATCAAAATACTATTCAAAACTATTCTAATTTTTTTTTCCTGCATTTTATTTGTGAACATTAAATATTATTCAATTTCTTTTTATTATACTAAATATTATTAAAAGACTTTATAAATAATACTTTAAATTTTTAATTGTTTTCCAGCCACAATAATAATTAAATTTTAATTTTGAGCAAAAATAGTGTTTTCCGTTAGATGGGAACGGACGTGTGACGGAAGGGACCAAATAGGTTTAAAATTGAACATTGGAGGTGAACTTTATTCACTTTGAAACAAAGGGGACCAAATACGGAATCGGGTCAAATATGAGGGCTAAAAGTGCAATTCTCCCTAAAATCAAATGCATTGAATCGGAATTAGTATTAAAGATATTAAAAAAAAACATTATAATGCCCAAGTCTATTTCCTTTTCGTTTTTACCAAGGGTCAAGACTTTTATCAAGACCTACTTAGTTGTTGTTCTTAGTTTTTGTTTTTTTCTTTTTCTAAAGGGAGTTGAGGAAATATTCAATAAGTCGACTTGCGCATAATTAAACCAATCAGGATTGTTTGGTGATGTTTTCATTTCATTTTTATATTTACACGAAACGAATTCGTGTTGGTTTAGTTTAAAAAAAAAAAAAATCATAACACTTTCTAAAGTTTCTCTTTCCTCCAAGATGTGATCTGATTCTTCACTAAAAATAAACTAACATTATTTTAATTTTGGAATTATCCTTTTGAAACATTTGTTTCCAATACCTTTAAATATGGGGATTATTTGACAAAGCTCTCCATCACACATGTGCAATTACAATGGATTCAATCTTTTTACAACTTTTTGAGATATATCCATTTCAACATTTACTAATAAAACATAATAAATTATCACAATTATACCCCTAACTTAAAATTAAAAGTAACGTATGTATTAGAATTGGAAATAAAAAAAAAAGATATGCAATATTTTTTCCTATTATATCGTAACAACACCTCCTTAAATAATCCCACGATTCCCACCCCTTAATTATAGAGAACCGTTTCAACGTAATTGATATTTTTTCCGCATTAATACCGATCTGATTGCCTGAGCAGGAAGTTCGTCTCAAGAAAATACAGGTGGTTTAGGTGCTTTTTACGCAAACTATGTAAGTGCATAATAGTCGTGGTTTTATCACTGTTCGAAATAATATTAATATGAATGCACATGCTTTTTCTCCCCCATTGTTATGTAGTTGTTAGCATCTAGTCAATCAATCTTTTCAAATTACAGTGTGGTTTTGACACAATGCCAGAATTCAAAGTTAAATGTAATAGTGGTTTTTGCACGCATAGTGGTTTTTGCACGCAGAGTGGTTTTCGCTTACATAGTGGTTTTCGCGCGCATAGTGGTTTCTTCCATTCCCTTATTAAATCCATGCATGGATTATGACCTTCTCATTTTATTAAGTCCACTATTGTGCAAAGTGAATTTTGTCATTTCCACTGTAATACACGTTAATTTTTTTACCGAAAAAGCTTATGTGACGTTGAACCAATATATGTATTTTGTTTGCCCTAAAGAAAAGAAGTTTTTGTCCGAAAATAATAGTAGATTTTCTTACAGTAAACATGAAGCCATTGTTGCAGTTTTTGGAGATCAAGAGAAAAAAGATGAAATGGATTTATGAGATACTGGGTAAGTTGGGAGCGAGATTTGTGGAGAGATGGAGAAAGATTAGATGTGATAAACAAATTAACAGAATAATTATGTAATGCGATTTTGCCGGAGCGGATTTCGAGCGTGATTTTGAGGGGAGAAATATTGGGAGAATTTTTAGGTAATGGAATTTTGGGAGAGATTCTGCATTTAATTCACTATATTTTTAATTTAAAATAATTATACTAGTTAGTGGGGGGCATATAAGGTTTTTTAGGCACAATGGATTTATGTTAAATATCAATTACAAATTATGGATTCATCAAGAAGTCAAATCTCAATGAGGGATGTTTAACAAATAGCCACTTAAATATGATTTGACTGCTACCGTGTATTTTGGCTCATCTCAAAATATAAACAAACAATATTTTTATTTTTCTTAAATCCTTATTATTTTATATAGGATAAATTACAACCACCCAGAGGTATGATAAAATTATGAAAACCCCCCTCATATTTGGATAATTACAACCACCCCCTCAACTATAAATTTTCTTACACGTCCACCCTTGCGGTTTCAAATTTAGTGGAATCTTCTTGATTATATGGAATATTATCACCTTTGTACCCGTTTTATCTCACTCGAGCTCCACATTTTGAAGCAAGATGATCATATGATGTGTTTTTTGGCTTGTATATATCAGATTGTGGTGCATCAGAAATTTTCTGTATTTTTATGCAAAACGAGCACAAACTAGAGCACATTCCACGGAATCTAGATGATTATGTTGAATTTGACACCATAAGAGCGGATGTGTAAGAAGATTCATAATTGAAAGGGGTAGATGTAATTATCCAAATAAGAGAAGTTTTTTTCGACATTTGACCACACCTCAGGTGTGGTTGTAATTTACCCTTTTATATAAGATTTATAAATTACAAGCACTGCTAGAGATAACATAGAGCTAGAATGACACGTCTCTCCTAACATTTATTAAATCCTTATTATTTTATATAGGATTTATAAATTTTCGTCTATGGTAGCATTTACGGCCGCCCCGTGCGAAACAAATATAGTGCATATCGGTCCCCAGAACAGGAAATCTTGGCTCCGGTAATTGTTTCAGCGGTGTGGCTGTAATTATCCATACCACAGGGACCTTAAAGTTATTTTAACATAACTCAAGGGTGCAGGTGTAATTTACACTAATAATAATAATTAATTAATTAATTAGAGACCCTTGGGCCATGAGCTTCGGCCCAAAGGCATGTATGTGGACCGTACCGGTCTAGAGCCAAAAGTTACCCCTCCGAGCGATTATGGCTCCTCTTGGACCGAGCGGTGGAGCTGCAGTTAGACGAAACAAAAAAAAAATAATAATAAAAAAATAAATAAAAAAAAAAGAAAAAGAAAAAGAAAAAAACACTCTCCTCTGTAACTTATTTTCCTTGTGTGTATTACTGAAATTGATGCAGGGTTTCTTTATCTAGATTTGATTTTGATCCAGTTTATGCATAAATAATCATAATATAATATGATTTTGCTCTGGTTCAGAAATTCAGGTATTTGTTTCAAACCTTGCAATTTTATGCACCAAATTTGCATATGTTATAAAAACCTTGCATAAAATTCCCTCTATATTTAACGGTGTTAACTTTTAACGGAAAAAGGGATTTCGTGCAAAGCAAAATGAAACACAAGGGGGTTTTACGCAAGAAAAAAAATATAGGGGGGTTTGGCGCAGGTTTTCTTTAACACAGGGGGTTTTATGCTTTTTACCCATATATATAAATTTCCTATCGACCCACGTTGATACTCGAGGTAGTAATCGAAGCGTCACTCGAGCCAACTAACGGGACGTTAGGCGCATTAAACCCGGGCACCGGCATTTTGGTCTCGAGTTTGGGCAAATCCGCTTCGAAATTGAGGACACTGCTAGCTTGCCTTATCGACGGCCTTTGGCTAAAGTCGGGGTGAGCACACCACAACCCGACTATCATCAAACGCTCCGCTTGTTTCGTATCGAAATCGACTCGCGCGCACTCGTCCACACACGAAAGAAGCTCCCCATTACCATACATTTCCCAAACCCACTCCACCAAACTTATATTCGACTCCTCATTCAACGGATCGATCGATTTTTTTCCGGTGGCAATCTCGAGCACCACAACCCCAAAACTGTACACATCTGACTCTTTGCTGGCTCTGCGACTGCTGACATATTCTGGCGCCATATAGCCGAATGTCCCAGCTAGGCCCGTGGTTTGTGGGCCAAGCCCGTGATCCATGAGTCGGGCTAGACCAAAGTCGCCAAGCTTGACATTGAAACTCAAATCGAGCATTACGTTGCTCGATTTGATGTCTCTATGCACCACGCACTGGTCCCCCTCCTCGTGGAGATAGAGCAGAGCGAAGGCCAACCCGAGGGCAATTTTGTACCTTTGGGTCCAAGAAAGAATGCTCTTTTTCCCAAAGAGGTGATGATCGAGGCTGCCGTTGGGCATGAACTCATACACGAGCAAGAACTCGCCCTGGTCGTGGCTCCACCCGATTAGCTGCACCAAGTTTCGGTGCCTCAACATGCTAATGATCTTCACCTCGGTTATGTATTGCTTTCGCCCGTGCTTGGATTGCTTGGATGATTTCTTCACGGCAATCGGGATATCGAGGTCGATGAGGTACCCCTTGTACACCCCTCCGAATCCACCCTCCCCCAATTTTTTCTTGTCTGAGAAATTACTCGTCGCCGAAGCGAGGTCTTTGTAAGAAAATCTTCTCGGCCCCGCTCCTCTCTCGAGATCGTCATTCATCGATGTCAAGTTAGCCGCCTCCGGATTGTTTTTGTCGACGAAACCATGTCTCCGTTTTTTCCTCAAAACGACATACGCTAGCACTCCCCCGGCAATGAGAACGCATACGGACAGAGATAAACCGACAATGAATCCGATCATTTTCGCGTTATTATTTGCATCCGTCCCGTTTATGTCTAGGCTCGAACTGAAGTCCCACGATCCGAGCGTGTGTTGTTCGACATTAACCCCCGTGGAGGCGGAGATGCCGATGGTGACCCACTGAGGAAGAACCTCTCTCAAGTCTATCAGGTAAGAGAGGCTTGAATTCGACTCGCCCCCATAGGTCAACGACACGCTCAAGTTTCTCGTGGTGCCGTTATAGCTAATCCAAGCATCCGCAAGTTTCCCACTATATAGAGTGAGATTCCATGGTGTTGTTACGATAGAAGTAACCGAGTTTACGTTGATGCCAACGTGGGTGTAATTCGGGTCCCATCCGTTGGAAAACGAGTCGAACTCCACCGAAACGATTTGTGTCCGGTTCGAATTGATGGTGGTGGTGTTGAAAAGGCCTAAGTAGCCGCCCGCGGAGTTTGGCGGGATTTGGAAGCCCAAAGGCGCGAGGAAAAACGAGAGGCCGTGGCCGAAGGATGAGGCGTTCCGTGTGTCGACGGTGAACGAAAAATGTGTGGTGAAATCCGCGAGTTTTTTCGAGTCGTCGTCGTCGTCGTCCCAAAGTGGTACTTTTCCGTTGTAGATGACACGGCCCACGCGACATACGTAATCGATGTTGGTGAATTCGATTTCCCCGACGGAGTTTTCGGCATCGCCCTCGAGGAGTACGAGGCTCACGTCGGAACCGAACTGGGGAAGTTGGAAATTTACGGAACGAGAGAAGGGGACGAGAAACACGAGAAAGATGGCGATGTACATATTTTTCGGGCTATATTCGATTTCTTGATAGATTTACATCTTTAATTAGATGTTTAGCTTTAATAGATTATGATAATGGTTTGAGTTAAGTACTTGAAGAACAAGTTTTCAACTAATCAAGATTTGTTTAATGGAAATGGAAGCTTCAAATAAATTGGAGTGTATTATAAAATTACACTGGCTATTGAAAATTCTTCATGGATTAACGTTTATGATGTGTAGGGGCAGAAATCAGTCAAATTGGAAAATAATATATTATGGATTTTTTTTTTTTAAGTGAAAAATGAAAAATCAATTTTAGTTTGGAAGTTTTGGAAATTCAAAATTTGTTTTGATTTGAAAATGTAAAAACAAAAATTATTTATTTCTATAGTTTCGGTTTTCGTTTGACACTTTATTGTTCGTTTAAAATTAATCAATAAGATTTTAAAAATCATAAAATTATCCTTATCATACAACTTTAATACTTTATACGTAAAATTATGTATGTATATATATACATCATGAATATGTAATAGTATTCAAAAAAACATCATAAATAGAAATATATATTTTGAAGTAAATTGATTGGAAATCAGATTTTTTTATTATTTTAAAGATACTTTAAATTCGAACCCCGAAAATATTGGGGGAAAAACTGGAATTCGTGGTTTTAGAAATCGAGATGAAAATGTTGCGAAATTTGAAAAATATCAGATGAAATCGGCAAAATTCAAAATCTATGTTCCAAATTTCAACCCTAATTTACTTGTGATGTGGTTTGGCTTCAAGAAATAGAGAATAAATTAGAGTATTGGTAATTAATAATTATTATAGTGTTACGACTAAAAAAATGAGGAAATTAATTGTGTATTAAGTATCTCTATCAAAGTTTGAAGATCAAATTTAATATGCACTGTTAATAAAATAGATTTTACGAAATAATAAAAAAAAATCCGGTTCATTATCGAAAGTCAAACATCATTTTGTAACGTTCTGCTCGGGTCAACACTCATTTTTCTAAGGACACCATATTAAAACTCAAATAATAGGCTAGTTCAAATAAATTACATTGACTAGTTATCAAAAACAGTAATATACATGCCCCATTTTTTTATTATTATTATTTTCAAGACCATTTCGCCATATTACTTGGTAGTTAATAATTAATGTCATTTATTTAATATAATCGCCAATTATCAATTTTTAGCTACTTAGGTGAGGCGCAGGCAGCACTAAAAGCGATGTTTATGTCGCAGAAAAAGAGCTAGTCGATGATTATTATTGAGGGGACAATCTCATGATTATTGCCGCACTTAATACGAAGGATTTTGCTACGTCATCGTTCGTTGCATTTTAATAGGGTTATTTTTCAATTTATTAAACGAACGATATGTTTTTAATGAGGGTCTGTCTCTTCCTCAAATTTTGGCCAATGTGGCCTAATCAAACGTCTGGTTATCACAAAAAAAAAAAAAAGTTACTTTCTACTTTCGTCGCGGTTTGCGAACATTTTCGTGACTTCACGAAATTCGGTCTCTATTCTATCCAACACTAAGAACTTTACACGCTCAAGGGTAAATCCATGATCAACAGCAAGTGATCCGGGCTATTTTGCTCAAGCCCAATAGTCTTACCAATCGGCCCCTTTAGCCCTCCAATCCAAGCCCACCAACCACATGTTTTGGGCCCAACAGAAGCGGCCCACTCTCGTCTCTCTAGGATTAGTATTAATAAGAAGATAAGGAATGAAAGAACGGGAGACAAAAAACCACACATGGAAGACAACACCAAGAACACACAATCTATACACACCAAATACACGCAAATACACAAAATACGATGAGGAGGTCCAAATCCTCATCAGCAAGTAGTCAACATCTCCCCCGTAGTAATCAAAACATTCACCAATAGTCTTGGCATGCCGGCGAAAAGATCATATTCTTGAACCGAATTTATGAATAACTCAGTTTCTTCCTCTATCGACAGAAAACCTACAACCATGCCAACCGATTTTAATAGAAATTAGTATTTTGAATTTTGATGTTCAAACTGTTATACTTTTTTCATCTGAATAGTCACATATTTTCATCATTTTTCTTCTTTTTAATTATTTTTCGTCTCTTTTTTTTTTTTTTTTTTTTTTTTTTTTTGCGGAATTCTTAACTCGCAAGTACTTTGAGCTGCAAATAGTTTTCTATCTTTATCGGTCCCTGGAAAATCGATGGGATTGAGTCGGGCTAATCCTTTTGCGAATTTGCCCTATTTAATTGCAAAAATCATTTGGAAAATTCGAAAGCCTAGTGTTCGACGCGTGATTTTTCGGTGCTACATGCAGATATGTATTCTCCGTAAAAGGTATTTTGAGTTATTCTCAGTTGACTTTCAAAAATATATTGTATACCTATAGATATGTTTACCGTAACTGCAACTAGTGCATCGTATGCCAGCGATTTGAGAACCGTTAGAGGGGCCATGGCCCCCCTCTTCGCCCCGTTGTTGAATTTTTGCACTTATACAGTTAATATTCAAAAACAATGTCACACACTAAAACAATAGTGTGATACATATATATACATGGATGAGCACACTGCCTTCACAAAATATAAAAAATTAAAATAAAAGCAGAGGATTTTATCATGACTTGTAAGCACGTTTTGTGATGAATACTTCTCATTTACATCACAATCACAAAAATGTATGTGTGTGTATAATATATATATATATATATATATATATATATATATATATATATATTCATTTTTCCAAGTAATTTTACAATAATATCTTTTTTTGAAGAAAAATAAAGCACGGAACAAACTTAGCCGAAACGATATCGAAATCACTTCCACCATAGGAAGAGGACGAAGAAATTATGAACTCGATTCACTTTGAGTATGTTGTAATAGGCTAATAGCCATTTTCTAAAGTGTAAACACTGTTTGTTTGTTGATATACGGTATAACCAGTCGCGGAGCCAATTCTTGACATGAAAGTGAGCTATAAATTATGGGGTTTTGGCAATGCCGATTCTAATTCAGTATATTCGATTTTAGAACAATATTATTCATTCAAAATTCCAAAAGTTCTTATTTCCATTTTTTTTTAACGGAATTGGAATATAATTAGATTTGAATTCTTGGTTTTAATTATAAAAAGAAAAATTACACTTATAATGTCAATATTATGTATGTTACAAGTGACTAAAAAAAATAAAAATTCCGAATTCCGTCAATACTGTAAACAAAACGAAAATCAAATTTGAAGTCATTCTTTTCCATTTCAAATTCCAATTTTACACAAGCGGAATTGAAATTAGTTTTTCCATTCCAACAAAGGCAAAAATTACAATTTTCATTCCTCAAGTTTGCACCAATTTCACATTTGATCCTCCAATATTTACAAAAATATATTTGATCCCTCATGTTTCAATAATTTAACATTTTTTATCATTTCCGTCGATTTACTGTTAGTCTGTTAGTTAAGGCAGTGACGGACACACACTTGATTCCGTTAGTACTAAAGAAAAATTGATGAAGAGTACTAAAAGTGTTGAATGTTTGAAATACAAGGGACCAAATATGTTTTTTTTTGTAAACATCAAGGGCCAAATATAACATCCGTACAAACTTGGAGGATGAAAACTGTATTTTTATCTCCAACAATAATTAAAATTAGATTTTTTCTAATATACTAGTTTTGATTAAATTAGTAACAAAAAACCTCATGCAAATAAGAAATCAAAATTAAAACTACATCGATTTAATTATAGAGAAACTTAAATTGTATATCCACTTCATATTTCTATAGGTCTAAGAAAACTGATCCAATTATCAAATTATAGAAGTAAAAAAAAAAACATTATTAATAATTAAAATATATAAAAAAAAAATCACTTATTATGCACAACGTGTTGTTGCGGCCGCTTGAGATCCCGAAACACTTGCTGGCAGTACTGCGCATCCCCATGGCCGCCGTCGTCAAAGTTCTGCGAGTAGCTAACGGCGTCGTACTGGAAACTCGCCGGCGGGCCGTAGATGTTCTTCCCCTCGTTCACTATCTTCCGGAGGAGCCGCCGCAGCTTCCGCCGTCGATGTCCGGCGGCTGCGGCGGCAGCCGCAGCGTCGTCTCGGCTTACGTGGATGCGCGAGTACTCTTCGTGGACCGGCACGCACGACGGAGACATGCACCCGCCGGAGAAGTAGGAGGACCGCCGCTGGAAGTAGATATCGCCGCCGCTCATTTTTTTTTTTAATTACCGGCGGAGGAGGGTGGCGGAATTGGATTTGGGGATATCGGATGAAAGGCTGAGGATTGGGGTTTGGGGAGAATAATATCTGTGTGTGTGTGTTGTGTGTGTGTTTTAAGTGGTGGTGGTGGTGGGATTTGATTTTATATATGATTTTTGAAAATGAGGAAAAAAAGGGATCCAATGTGGAGATGTTTATCTCTCTATTGGGCAATTGGGGAATTTTGTCATTTGTGTGGGGGCTGGTTGTAATAATGTGGACTGGCTTTTTAGGTTAAATCATGAATTTGCCTAGTCATAAAATAATTATTATTTTTAAATGGAAAAAATAAAGTGTCAAAAAATAGAAATAATTGGTTTGGGTCAGTAGTGGAGCCAACGTATTATTATTGTGTGCCCAAATATACATTAAAAAAAAAGTTTTATAATACTCGAAAAATAACGAATATTTATATAAATATTAAGTTTTTTGTTTAAATGGTAGTTGTTAAGTGGGAGCAGTGGTGGAGGCAGCATAAGGCCAGGGGGCTATGACCCCCAACATTTTTGAAATCTCTACTGGTTTGTATTGAATTTTTTTTTATGTACACTAGCATTAACGGTTTCCCTCTTAATGTTTTTAATGCATTCAGTTCCCGGACTTAAACTCCTTGCTCCGCTAATGTATGGAAGCGTATAAGTTTCGTTCCATGTAATTCTCGACTATGTAAGAATGTAATATATGTGCGAATAGATTTAGGTTGAACATTGTTTTACTGTTGAAACATTTTCTTGGTTCAATCGGATGGCTTCGTATTTCCGGGTTTTGTAGGTGCTACATTCAGTGAAATACATCGAATGGTTTTGAATTATAGATGTACACATAACAACACATACACACACTCGTGTGCATGTGTGCTTAGTAGGTGATTAGTTGTACATATATGTGGTTTAAAATCACTCGATATATTTTATCAGGTCTAGCATCTCATAGACCGTATTTCGAGAGCATTTTTGTGGGTTCAATCGTACATTTTATGAAGGGAGCACCTTTTTAGAAATAAGGGTAAATTACGAAAATCCCCATAAACTTTGGCTAAATTAAACATCCCCATCTATTCGTAATATCGGAACTTCTGATGTTTGTTTCCTTAATGTGTGATTTTTCATGGCATCTTTTTTATTTCAGAGAATATTTTTCAAAAAATGTCAAGTCTATACGTGATATTTTTTTATACTAATTTTTAAAGACGAAAATTACTGAAGGCGTGATGGTAGTACTAAAAAAATATGAATGTACTATTTAAGAAGAATAATGATTTCGTGTAAAATTACTTAATGTAATTTTTGTCTTAAAAAAACTGAGTAAACAAAACATGTAAGAAATCATACTCTTTGAATCCACTACTAAATTAAAATATGACTGAATATATTATTAAAATTTAATTCATTATTCGCACTGAATTTTCACGGACCAATGGGTTTAATGGATGAGCATGTGAGTGATCAATTTTGCCAGCCCAACCTGTGGGGTTTGAGTTTATTGTCACTACCTTCAATTTACATTATTGATTAAAGGCAATAATATTTATCTGCCAAAAATCCAGGATTTTTATTTATTTATTTATTTATTTTCATATATTTAATATAATTAGTTATGCTGCTAGTGGTAGGTGCATTCACTTTACCAGCTAGAACGTGGTTGGAGCGTGTGGGGAAGATAATCCACTTTATATATTTTCAATTTCATATTTATAATCTATTTTATAGATATTTATTAAATGTTTATCTATTTTTTTTTTTTTGATTATTTTGTTAAGTTAGTAGAACATATTACAAAAAGAGAGAATTTTTCTAAGAGATTAGATACAAAAGCTTGCTTCAAGTAGTGTTATGCATCACATAAAAGAAAATCTTCAATTGATTTTTTGTTTTCTTATTTCTAATTAAAACTATTTAAAATTTCAATGGATGTTTAAGAATTTGTCTATTTGAACTCAAGTTCTTAAATTTCTAGTCATAGTCATTTGGGTAAACTGCGGTCACTCCCTGTAGTAAGGTCAAATTACGAAAAAATTCCTCATGTTTGAGTACTTACAACCACCACTCAACGATGAATATTCTTACACGTCCACCCTTGTGGTGTCAAATTTAGTGGATTCTTTTAGATTGTTTGAATATTTTCTAGTTTGTACCAATTTTATCCCATTCAACCTCCACATTTTGAAACAAGATGATCATAAGAAGTGTCTCTCGGCTTGTAAACATTAAATTGTGATGCATCAAAAACTGTAACTTTGCACAAAAGGAGTACATGCTAGAGAACATTCCACAAAATTTAGAAGAGTCTGTTGAAATTGACATCATAAGGGGGGACGTGTGCGAAGATTCATAGTTGATGAGTGATTGTAATCACTCAAACATGAAATGCTTTTTCGTGATTTGACCTTACCTCAAGGAATTTGCCGTAATTTACCTAGTTATTTTGAAGTTATTGTGATTTGTGACTAGGGTAAATTACAACCACCCCCTAAGGTATGGTCAATTACGAAAAACCCCCCTCATGTTTGGGTAATTACAGCCACCCTCTCAACTATAAATATTTTTACACGTCCACCCTTTTGGTTTAAAATTTAATGGAATCTTCTAGATTATATAGAATATTATCACTTTTGTACCCGTTTTATCCCCTTCGAACTCCATATTTTGAAGTAAATATCATAATATGTGTTTTTTGGCTTCTATATATCAGATTGTGGTGCATTAGAAACTGTATTTTTACACAAAACGAGTACAAACTAGAGCACATTTCACGGAATCTGGATGATTATGTTGAATTTGACACCATACGGGTGAAAATGTAAGAAAAAATCATAGTGAGGGATAGATATAATTTTCCAAACAAGAGAGGTTTTTTCGTAAATTGACCATACCTCAGGGGGGCTGGTTGTAATTTACCCTTTGTGACTATTTGCCTTTGGGCTAATTGGCTTGGACTTGATTGGGATAACTTTATTTGCAAATTTGGGCTATTGGGCCTATGGTCCGATAGGATATGTCAAAACTTGTTAAGAAACTTTATGAGTAGGTCCCTTTATATATACACATTTCATTTCTTATAATTAATATAAGTTTAGTTTAGTTGGACTAAATTATGAGCTTGTCCAAAAAAAAAAGACTAAATTATGAGCTTCAAACTTCAATACATTTGTCCCTAGAGTTAAAAGGAAGTAATTTTGTGCACCGGTTCCTCAAGGGGTGTGCACGGTATGGTTCGGTTTGATTTAGGTCAAAATCGAAGATGCACTTATACAATTGGTTCTTAGAAAGAAAAGAAAAAATCAATTATGTTGGTTTATTGTTCTGATTTCTTTTTGTTTTGATTTCTTTCTGGTGCGGCCATTAATTCAATTTATACACAGAAAAAAAAAAATTACAATTAACTTTCACTCAACTAACTAACGCAATGAAAACATAAAACACTTGCCGCGTATGACGTTTGCATAATTTAGGTAAATATTGTACTCCGTTTTTTACTGTCATTAATCATATGATTAAAATCATGAATTCAAGCAAATATTTAGTTGCTCCATACCAAATAATATACATTATAGTCCCTCTATAAAATTGCATCTATAGTTTGTAGATCTAGCTAACATTACCATTTTCATGTATCAAACTTCCTAATCACTCACTCCCTTGCTTCTAAGTTAAGGCTAAAAATCATCATAAATAATTATTTAGTGACAAATTTGATCATAATTTAACAGAAAAAATATTTTCGAAAAAATAATAATAATAATAATAATGGTGATTGGATTTTACAAAAACTTTGTATTGGAAAATAAATACTAATTCCGATTCATGATTTGATTTTTTAATTACTTATATAATTTATGTAGAAAAAGATCTCGAATTTCCTGCAGCTCAAAGTCGTGGTTATTACTTAACGATTTTCTGTCTAAAAAGACGTCACTGCATATTAACAAACTGCAGGAAAGACGAGATAAAAAAGACTAATCTTTTGACTTGAAAAGAAATACTCCACTACTTCGAGCCAAGCTCAAATCCAACGGCTAAAATTCCGCCGGAGTCAAAATTACCGCCGGAGATGGCTCGCGTGGGGGGAATAACGAGCGCCGTCAACGTCGGAATAGCGGTCCAAGCCGATTGGGAGAACCGGGAATTCGTTTCCCACATCTCCCTCAACGTCCGTCGCCTCTTTGACTTCCTCGTACAATTCGGTACATTTGCCCTCAGATCCCTCTTTTAATTCTGCATTTTTTCTTCGCCGGAATTTAGGTTTAATTTGAACTTTGTTTTTCTTCTTCTGTTAGAATCGACGACGAAGAACAAATTGGCGAAATTGAACGAGAAGCTTGACACATTGGAGCGGCGCCTGGAATTGCTGGAAGTACAAGTCAGTAATGCAACGGCAAATCCTGCTCTTTTCGCTCCCAGTTGATCGATCTCCTCTGAAATTATCATCTTCTTCTGTAAGAAATTCAAATCGCTGGATTTATTTTGTTCGATTTTTTTTTTTTTTTTTTTTGTTGTTGTTGTTGGATCATAGAAATACCTAGGGTTTTTAATTTCTATTTTGTTGTTTTTCGATATTTAATAAATTGATTAAAAGTGCCCTTTTTTTTAATTTAGAGTGTATACAATTCACTTTGATATCAATTTTTTTTTCTTTCTATAAATTATTTCCACTGCATTTCGGAATATTGTTCATTTTAACCGAAACTCGAAATACTTTGCAACGCTTAGTTACATAAAACTGAAATTAGTGCAACCTATGAATTATTCTTCTCTTTAGCCCCTTTTGTGGCGTTGTTTTGCCGTTTACCGAGACTTTAAAGATTCAAAAGTTAAAGATTCTTAGCATGATCGTTTTTCCAAGTTTATTGTACATAGTTTTGTTGTGTTTTGCTGCTTTTCTTGTTAGTTAGTGATTAGCAACGAGCGATCATTCCTAAAAGAATTCCTGTTTTTGAAGAGTTTCGAATGCGAAAATTGAAATTATTATTTAGTCATTAGGCATGAAAGGATAGACGGGTATTTGTCGACTGTTGTTGATTCTGACCGCAAATTTCCAAGAATCGAGACCAAGTTTTTGTGCTCAACTTTGTAAGGAAATGCTTCTGGTTTAATTGTTTCCAGATGTTTGTGTTGATAATAAATCCTCTTGCATGATTTTGTTTGTGTTGAGGACTGAACATACATCTACAAGATTGTGTTGTAGCTCTCTGTTGAAGATACATTTTGTCCAAGAAACTGAAGTCATCAAAATAATATATAAGTGATCGAAAAAAGATAGAAATATGTAGTTGCAATTTGCAGAGTAAATAAGTCGAGTTCGCTCTACTTCTAGTAACTTTTTTTTTCATAGGTTGGCAAAAGAACCCGCAGCTATAGTTGTGCGCCGGGCAAAATCCGCTTTTGTACAATAGCTCGTAAATCACTCAAAGGATGTAAATTGCACTGAACAAGCCATATGCGACGAGTTTACCTAAAAAATGTTGGTTGAACTTAGCATATATATACATAGATTTATTATTTTTGGAGTATTTTTCCAGTATATATTTGACAAGGACGATGATAAAATTTCGGCTTTGCCACTGTTGTGTTGAAGTAAATTTCTATTAGTTGGAGTTCGTTTCGTTCGTTATAGCCTAAATTTTCGGAGCTCAAGTTCAAGTTCAAAGTAGTCGTTAAAGCTCACGAGCTTTCGACCTAAACATGTTTATTTTTAAAAAATTTAAGCTAATTAGTTCTGAAAATTAAATTTAAATTTATTATTCTCAACTTATATTATTCATAATGCACACCAAATATCTATTTATAAATTTGCCCAATAGAGACAAAACAAGGGTCTTCTTTTTTTTTTTTTTATTAAGCAAAGAAGTTATCAACGTATTAATTAAGTGATAGATTATTCATTATAGATGCCAAGTTGCTAACCACTCCTTAAAAATACCATGTTTTATTAAACTGAAATGTTAAATGTTGTATCAATTTACCGAATACCATTTTGACTACAAAAGTTATTTGACCTTTTTTCTAGTCTGGTTTTGGCAGAATTCAAAATACAGAAATTGTAGTTATTTAAGTTAACTTTTTAATCCAACTTGAATTAGCTACATCGGACGTCGACTGACAAAGTTATGCATAGATGAGTTAAATTTTGATTTTAGATAGCTAAAAACATCAAAGTTATGACAAAGTTCATCGTTCCATGCACATCTTTCTTACTCGACATCGAATCTTGGTGATTCCAATTGAATTACAAAGATAATTCAAAGAACTACGAAATACATGTTTGAGTTTTGACTAATTTTAAATCGAAAATGACCAAAATTACATTTAATATGATATAATTAAAATTGAAACGACATTTATCACATTCTTTATCGAATCGAATGTACTACTAAGTGATGAAATGGGATAAGAACAAACTTATTGTTGATACGAACATTATGATCGCACTCAACATAATTCGAAGTGACATAATTGACCTTTTGCATGCTTTAATAATAATGACAAAATACACTTTGTCTCCTGTAAATTTCTATTTTTCGCATGTTCTCCCTTAAAAAATAAAAAAAAAATGAATATTTCCCTTTTGAAATATTATATTAAATGCACTTTGTCCCATTATTCAGTTTTTTGAGGGCATTGTGCAACAAAAATAACATTTTAAAGGGGCAATGTGCAAAAAAATAATATTTTAAGGGACAACGTGCAACCAAAATCATCAATTCCAATGAATAATCATCAAAATTTTGCTATCGGGGCAATGTGCAACAAGAATAATATTTTGAAGGGGGACATTCACTTTTAAAAAATTTGAGGGGTAAAGTGCGAAAATTACAAATTCACAGAGGGTGATGTGCAATAATAATAATAACACTAATAATAATAATAATAATAATAATAATAATAATAATAATAATAATAATAATAATAATAATAATAATAATAATAATAATAATAATAATAATAATAATAATAATAATAATAATAATGCCGCCACAACTGGGTTTAGGAGTAGTACTGTTAGTTTCTACAGGGGTAATACCGTCCATTGGGAAAAAATCAAAGTTGTACTTCCGTTGCAGGACATTGTACTCGCACTGAAGCAGCAAAGCTCATGGAATAATTTAAATATCAATCCGCCAATTCTCGATCAGGAAAGCAGAAAACACCACTACATTGTCGCCGACAAACTCCGGTGATTTCCGGTAAGTATATAAGCAAATTTATTTATTCCCGCCGATCATCCTATCTGCTCCGATCATTTTTTTTTTTGTTGCTGTATAAGTAGTAACTTTTCGTTTATTCATTCGTAGTATATGACATATTTAGTTGGATTTTTTGTTAATTGATTGAATTTCGATCTTCTGATTTATTTTGTAGCTACTGAGTTTTTTTTTTTTTTAAATCGGTGAAAAAAACATTAGTTTGTTTTGAGATGTGATTGAATTGTAGGTGAAAGCACAAAGTATGGAGAGGAAGCAGGAATTGGAGTGGGAAACAGCTCAGAGAACTGGAATAAGTGTAGACCTTGTATCCGCAGCCAAACAACACCTCGATTTTCTCGCAGCCGTCGATCGAAACCGTTGGCTCTACGAAGGACCAGGTCTAGATAGAGCCATTTACAGGTAAGAAGAATCTGACTGTGGAATTATTGTAGTATGTATTCTTGTTTATTCCCTGATTGTGAATTGTAATCTATGCCAGATTAATGCAATACGAAATCGATGAGATGTTACGATGATTCTCTTTGTTTCCATTTTTTTATGTTGTTCTTGATGCATAAACTTGAGCCAATTATATGTTAGGCATCTTCGATAAAGTAATTGACCTGGATCGATTTCTGGAAAATAAAACGATGTTCGTATTCTCGTGTCTGTGGGGTCTCTGCTATGTGTTTGTGATCGGTGTATGTCTTAAATATTTTGCTATGTCGTCTTCTCGTCGAGATTTTTATATTTATCGTTCATTTGCTAGGTATAATGCTTTTTGGCTTCCCTTGCTCGCGAAACAGTCAGGATCGCAACTCGTTGACGGTCCGTTGGTGGTCCCGTTAGATTGTGAATGGATATGGCACTGTCACAGGCTTAATCCAGTATGCTTCTATACTGTGTTATTTGTCGTCGATTTTATTACCTTACTTTAATTCTTGTGCGTAAAATGTCAACTATTGATTTCGTCTCTCAGGTCAGATATATATCGGACTGCAAGGAGTTCTACGGGAAAATTCTTGACAATCGGAATGTTGTTTCTTCGGTGGGTGAAACTTCAAGAAAAGAAAGTGAAAATATTTGGAAAAGTTTATACCCGAGTGAGCCCTACGAATTGGATTTGACCGGTACTATTCAAGTTAAAATCGGAGGAGAAAAATTCACCAAGTATGATTTGATCTCTGCTGTTCAAAGACAAACTCCGTTCTTTTATCAGGTAAATAATTTGCGTTCACTTGTTAGATAAGATAAGAAAATGAAGTTTAACTGGATATATTGTATATAGGTATCCAGGCCCCATATGAACGATAATCGGTATCTTCAAGAATCTGTTGCTCGGTACAAAGGATTTCTGCACCTAATCAAGACGAACAAAGAGAGATCCATAAAGAGCTTCTCTGTTCCAACGTACGACATCGACCTTATCTGGCACACTCACCAGCTACATCCAGTTTCGTACTGCAAAGACCTTGTGAAAATCATGGGAAAAGTTTTGGAGCACGATGACACCGACTCAGACAGAACCAAAGGTCAGAAACTTGATGTCGGATTTTCCGGGACTGAAAAGACATACGAAGCGATGTATGGTTGTAGATATCGTAGAGCTGGGGCTATGTACCTAGGCCAAGCTCCTTCACCTGTCAGAACTATTCCGTACTATGGCATTGTCAGCAAGAAGTTGCCCCCTTCCGATGAAAACCAGAAAATCAAACTTCCCGAGATGAAAATTCTGGAGGTAGTTATTTTAATAAATTTATATATATATAATAAATAAAAAATTAAAAAAACAGGTTTTGTTAAGTAGCTCTGGACAGAGTTAATGATTTGTGCAATATTTTTCAGGTCATGTTGGAATTTACGGGAGTGAGAAATCTACCGGAGGGACACGATGGAAATCTCTTTTTGGAGTTCGGTAAGGCTGAACCCGACGCCATTTTCAATGCAAAGAAAAGTGTTGAGTTATTTTCCGAATTCGGGGAGAAACAGGTGGTTTCCTTCCATTGTCAACCGACGGGGCATTTGCTTTTTGAAATTATATCGAAATCATCGAAAACTATGGGGGCCGCTTCAATATCTATGGAAGATTTTGTCTCCCCACATTGTAGTCTTACTGTAGAGAAATGGCTGGAGTTGGTGCCGAGTTCAAATACAATAGATTCTAAAGCAATTGGCTTACGAGTGGCGGTATCAGTTACTGTACCTACCACTGCACCGTATGTACTTCGTATGATTCGCTCTCGGCTATTCCCTAAAAGTTCGTGTCTATTTCCACTGCCGATGAGAAAGGTTCAATTTGCTAAAAGTCGGACAGATGTTGTTGATGAAGCTGGAAATTTGATCATGAGCCTACAAACGAGGTACTTTCGGTTTTAACTTATCTCTTACTGCAGATGAGTTGCTTTTCCCTAGAAGACTTCAGTCTTTGATTCGGCAAATATTGATGAATACCTAATTTTAACAGAAACATTTTTTTCGTGTGTCTAATTTCAGAGTTTCGAAAAAATCTAAAGGCAAAATCGGAAGTATGAGAAGAGAGGTGGTTGGCACTACGGAATCAGGCGAAAGATGTAAATTGGCTGTGTTCGCAGAGTCGAAATGGTCGATCGTAAATTCTCCATGGTCACTTAAGCTTCCAAATAAAAACAACGATGACGGCCACTTTTTGGAGCTCACTGGTCCTCACACGGTAACTTCCCTATTTTTTATGCAGTAAATTTTTGCACCCGTTAAAACTCCCAACAAAAAAGAAATCGAAACGAGAAATAATAGGTACACAATTCATATGTATTGCCTATATATGTTCGTCGTTTAGGTAAGACTATTCCATGGTGGAAGGCTGGATTACGAGTCGAAGTACTGCCAAAAGCATAGAAGCGAAAATGAACTTGAACGCTGCGTAATAACAGCAATAGAATTCTCTGAAGAAAACCCTTACGGTAGGGCGGTGGCATTACTTGACTTGAAATCCGGTATTGTCAAGGTAATATATTTCCGTATAAAATTATTAATACCGAGCAAACCCGTAAGCATAGTACACCCTGATTAAGTACTTATCAGTTTATTGTTGTGTAGGTTAAAGAAGAATGGTTCCTTTTGCCTGGATTTATGCTCGCCTTTATACTTGGTAGTATATCGAGAAAGGAGGGTTATATTAGCAATACAATGGGGTTGGAAACTCTGAAGCATAAAGGATTGTCGAATGAAGTTGAGGAGGTGTGTGTAGAGGCGAAAGTCGGTGGAAATTGGAACGGAAAATGTGGTGGTGGTGGTGGTGAGTGTGAGAAGCTTGAGTCCGGTGGATGTGGTGGTTGTGGTGGATGTGGTGGTGGTTGTGGAAACATGGTCGAGGCCGGTGGTTGTGGTGGTTGCGGTGGTGGCTGTGGAAACATGGCTAAAACTGGTGGTTGTGGTGGTTGTGGAGGAGGCTGTGGCGGCGGTGGCTGTGGAAACATGGCTAAAACCGGTGGTTGTGGTGGTTGTGGTGGTTGTGGTGGCGGTGGTGGGTGTGGAAACATGGCTAGAAGCGGGGGCTGCGGTGGTTGTGGAGGCTGTGGTGGTGGTTATGATAACGAACACCCAAATCAAGCAGTCAAACCGGGGAATGAGGTCCTTGTTGCATGAAATGTGATTTTGTGCATTAACAAGTTTTCAGCTACACTCTTGTGTGTGTGTGTGCGCGCGCGTGTGTGTGTGAGAGGTCTCCTTTAATGTGTGCTGTATATATGTGTGCAGCTTTGGAGTGCTATTTGATATTGATTTTAAATCCCTCTATTGTCCCCGTTTTAAATGAAATAAAGATGTATATTGGCCTCATAATTTGAATCAAACAGATTTCAAGCAACTTTTGAGGCAGGTAAGTTTAAATAATTTACGGATCCCTATGGTATTATTAATAATAAATATCTCCCACCTATTTCTTCATCTTGCATCTATATACTTACGGAGTTATGAGTAATGGAATCTTGAAGATTTCATAAAATATTTGTTCTGAATTTTAAAATCTTTCCCTAAGAGGTAAATGTAGTATATTCCCAAGGGGTGACTTTAATATTTTTTCGGGCAAATAGCAAATAGGTCCATGACAATGACACTTAATTAAAAGAGGGACATCCAATTTTTTTGTCTTTCAAATAAATCCAGCTCATTCAAACTTATTTGCAAATAAGGAAAATCCTTTTATATATACCAAAATTACCCCAAATTCATTGAAACCCAATTCAATTCCAATTTCATGATTTACACCCCAATTTAGCCAAATTTCATCAATTAACCAATTTTAACCATAATTTCAATTTTGACCCCAATTTTGATCCGCCACCACCGGTCTCCGGCGTTAACTTTTTTTTTTTTTTTTTTCCTGAATTTTTTTTCCGGCCGGTCAACCATCGTTGACCGGTGGTTGACTGTCGGGTCTCCGGCGTTGGCCTTTTTTTTTATATATAATTTTGTTTTTTCTTAAAAAAAATATTTTAATTAATATTACTGTCTTGGCTGCTAAATTACTGTCTCCGGCAGTTATTTAACTGTCGGAGACAGTAATTTAACTGTTAATTGATTTTTTTTTTTCTTCAAAAATATTTTAATTAATATTACTGTCTTTGCTACTAAATTACCGTCTCCAGCAGTTATTTAATTGTCGGAGACAGTAATTTAACTGTAATTTAACTGTTAATTGACTTTTTTTTTAATATTTTAATTAATATTATTGTATTCGTTGCTAAATTACTGTCTCCAACAGTTATTTAACTGTCGGATACAGTAATTTAACTGTTAATTGACTTTTTTATTCTTAAAAAAAATATTTTTAATTAATATTACTGTATTCGTTGATAAATTACTGTCTCCAGCAGTTATTTAACTGTCGGAGACAGTAATTTAACTGTTAATTGACCTTTTTTTTTTTGAAATTTTTTTTCTTAAAAAAAATTATTTTAATTAATATTACTGTTTTGGCTGCTAAATTACTGTCTCCAACAGTAATTTAACTGCCTTAGACAATAATATTAATAATATTACTGTTCGGGAAAATAATATTCATAATATTACTGTCACAAACAGTAATATTACTGTCTGAGACAGTAATTTAGTAGCCAAGACAGTAATATTAATTAAAATGTTTTTTTCTAAGAAAAAAAAATTCAAAAAAAAAAAAAAAGTCACCGCCGGAATCTGGCCAGAAAAAAAATTTCAGAAAAAAAATTATTTTCTGTAAAAAAAATATTTTGGGGGTTAATGTGATATATTTGTTTAAATCCGAGGTCAATGTGTAATATTAAGGAAGTTAGAGCATAATGGATGGAATTGATAAGAATAATATTATGAAGGGTATTTTAGACTAAAGAGATGGGGATGGGTTTAATTGAGAGGCTATTTTTTTGTGGACCAAAATGAATTTAAGTCCCATGTGATGGGCCTTTTTGCCATTCGCCCTATTTTTTCTTACCTTCGTGGAACGCGTAATTTGTCCATAGTTTGTTTAACAAAATGGTAGATTAGACAATTCATTCTGTTAGGGTTTATACAGGCCGTTAAGCCGTAAGTTTTAGGGAGTATTTGCAATTACCAATATCACGGAGTTTATAAGTTATTTAGTCTTAATACTTTTTTTTTTTTTGAGTAATATTTAGTCTTAATACTTTTTTTTTTTTGAGTAATATTTAGTCTTAATACTGGGGTTATCCATAATTTAACCTAAAACTAATTAAAATAACACACGTTAATAGAAAGAAAAAAAAAAAAAAAGGCGACGGGCTCACTATTAACTGGGCCTATACAGTTGGGTTCTATTCTAAACCAGAAGTTTGAGACAACAAAATTTGTTAGATGTTTTTTTTTATAATGAGAATTAAATTGTATATAAAGATTAAATTAAACTAGCCGAGAATATCAAACGGTTCAATTTAATTTTAAATCCTAATTGTATAGGTTAGTTGTGACTATTAGATTCCGAAAATGCAAATTATTAATAATAATAGAAGGATAACGTATCAGACCATTATTGGATGATCTAACCCACGATACCAAACAGTGCGAATCCCGGGGAAACTATTGGCAATTTATTGACCGTGGTTAATTATTTACTCAACCATGGTTAAATATTAGCGGCAAAAGTAGAGGTCTACCCGGCATAAGGGTCCCTCTGTGGTGGGACAGCCGCGCGCATAATCTGTGTATCTTAAACTTACTTATTCCACTAATTTTAATTAGGGGTAATATGCTAGGAGCCCCTCAACACAAACTTAATTTGAAGTAGATGACAACCTCAAATAAAATATCTTAACTAAATCCATAATTCAAAATAAAATTTGACCCACATTCTTTTATTTTTGTTTAATCCGAAAATACCCTTAATATAAATAATAAAAGATTAGGTTTATCTCTCATTCCTCTCATTCTCTCTTTTCACGATCTTTTTTTTCCACTCGCCACACCTCAGTTTTTTCTCTCTTCTCAACCGTTCCACATCTCTCTCCTTCTCTCGTATTTTTGTTGTCAGCCTATCACGTTCTCTCTCTCTCTCTTGCAAATCAATGGGGTGCAAACCGAGGATGCCACCACCACTATGCCGAGATCTGAAGATTTTGAGGATCCATCCAGATCCGTTGCCGAGCAATAGAGTAGAGTGAAGGAGGTGATGCATAGATCTGAAGATCTTGGGGTTCTTAGAGACCTCGACGGCGACGGTGCGGTGGAGGAGGGTGTAGAAGGGGGCAGCAGAGGTGGGTCGATGGCGGTGGTGGTCGTGGTTATAGATCAGGTGATGGTTATAGTGGAGGTGGGCATTGGAGATGGTGGTGTGATGATAGATCGATGGTTGGAGGCGATTGCATCAACCTAGGGTTGTTTTACGGCGCTAGGGTTTTGGTTGACGGCTAGGGTTGGTGGATAGTAGTTGGCGGCGGCTGTGATTTGTTTGCTCTAGGGTTTGCCGACGGCTGGCAATTTTTTTTTGATGCTAGGGTTTGAAATACTACGTCATAGTAAACCATAGTATACCGTAGTAAAGCATAATACGCAGCAATAAACTATAGTATACCGTAAACTATAGTACATGGTAGTGTATCACAGTACACCAAATTCTATTATAATAGTATTAACAACAGATAAAATTAAAACAAAATATAAAAACATATGTAAATTGGATTAAAAAAATAAAAAAAAAATGTTTTTTTTTGTAATTTTCTGTATTATATAGAAAAAAGAGGAGTTTTGTTTTGTTTTATATTAGTGTAGAAAATGCGTAAGTGAAGAAAGAGAAAAGCAAAAAAGAAAAAAAAGAACAAAAGAAAAAAGAATAACGTGTGTTTTGTAAAAATAAAAATAAAAAATATAACATAAAAATGAAAATATTCCAGCCAAAAAAGATGATAAACAATGCAATATGAATTTTAATTAAAGCATATTTCAAATTTGTGAGTGGGGGGCATTTTTGGAATGAATTTTATAAAGGATGTCTAGCAAAGATTTAGTTAAACTTGTCATTTAGTTCTAATAAGTTTGCCCACTAGGGACCTATATCTTAAGGCCCCTTTTAATTATTAGTCAACTTTCAATTATTTGATTATTTATTTCTTCAACCATGGTTTTCAATTTCTATCATATTTGCTAAAGAGTTATTAATGCATTGGATTTAATATTCAAATGTATTTTTCCAAAAAGACACTTAATAAATACATGACATTTGTGAGCAAGCCCGAAGCATTTTATTTATTAAAAATAAAAAAAAAAAACAAAAAAAACCTTACCTTTCACCCCAAGTAATATTCCATACGTACCCTTTTTGCCTTTTTATATAAGTTTTCGCGATATTATTTTGTTATAATTTTGCATAGTTGGTTATCAAAGAACATGAGTTTATCAAGAAAATAAATAGATGGGGGTGTGGTAGAGATTTTGATTACTATTCAATTTCAAATAAAACTTTATATGTCAAATTACTGCTAATCCCGTGAGGTAATGTCAAATTACGAAAAACCATCTTATGTTTGAGCAATTACAATTATATCCTTCAACGATGTACTTTCTTACTAAAAAAAAACCCCATTCAGATGGTAAATTTGACAACATAAAGATGGACGTGTAAAACATTATATAGTTGAGAGGAGTGGTTGTAATTACCCAAACATAAGAGATTTTTCTGATAATTTGACATTACCCATAATTTGCCCAACCTTATATTAGATTCTTATTTGGTATATAACTATATTTCACGGGGTAGAATGACAAATTCGTATTTATACGAACCCTTATCCACACAATTACTTAATTGATCACAAGATGGGTTATGTATAGGCCCGACAATTGAGCCGGGCCTAACCGAAGTCCGATGGCTCGGCCCGATTATATTTGAACCGAGCCTACTTTTTAGTGAGCCGGGCCGAGTTTGAGCCATTTTATTAAACTCGACTTATTTATGAGCCGAGTTTGAGCCTACTATGGCTCAACCCGAATAAGGCCCGACCGATTAGGTTAATAATTAAATATATAATATATTTATTATTTCAATGCTATGACAACATACAATCGTATAAGATTATTTTATTTTGCAAAATGAAAGGAATTAAGTGGTAGCGGTGGCGGGTGGCAATAAGTAAAATAGGAATCAAACGCAAAAAATACACCGAAATCCAATTGTTGAAATTTACCACCGAGATTTGAGAATAGAATATAAAACGTTTCCAATAACAAGAGTTACTAATCTTTTTACTTCTTTTGGTCTTGTTTTTAAATTTTTCCAATAACTTGCAGATATCGTTTAAGTTTTTAAGGATTGGCTTTAATGAAGGTAAATCTTGTTTATCACATATTTTTATAATATTTTTTACTCATTACATTTATATAGTAATGGGGCCCG